CCCTCTTCTGTCCTTCTCTCACACACACACACACACTTTCTCTCTCTCACACACACACACACACTTTCTCTCTCTCTCTCACACACACACTCACACACACACACTCATACTCATTCATGCAGACACACACACAGTGAGCACACTCCCACTAGTATTTGTAAATATTAAGCCACAAAACAATTCATATGTAAATTAATTCTGCGTGTCTCTGTGATAATGAATGGCGCAGACGTGCAGTTTTGTTTACCACTCGTACTGAAGCGTGCGTGACGCTTGTGGTGATATCAGTGTCTGCCGTCTCACTAATGAGGACATTAATACACGAACAACATCTCCAGAACTGCTCTGAGAGTCGCTTCATCAGCATCTGAGTAAAACTATCCTCATGTCACACACACACAGAAGTGTAAAGGTATTCACGGCAACCCGACAAAATAAAAGTTCGGTTTAACTTGAAGACATTGCGGCAGAAATCAGTATAGATTTCATTGGTTCAATATCTGTTTATATTGTGTTTATTATTGTGTTAAAAGATAAAGTATCAAGTAGACATTACAAACTGTAGCTTTAGAAAGAAATATTTTATTTGATTCAGCATAAAATGTATTACACACAAACGTTTAGGCTACAACGTAACAGAAGATCATTTGATAAGCATCTCAATATTTGTTGTTCATATAATGAAAGTCATCATCGTTAACCGAAACAGCTTTGTCTTCAAAATACCTTCCTTTATGTCCCACGAAAGAAATGTTAAACGACATGAGGCGAGTAAATGATCACAGAATGTACTTTTTTGGGGGGTTTTTATTTTTATTATTTATTTTTTAATGAAATAATGTTCTCAGCGAAATTGAGCAAAAACACAATAATGTGTTTAAAATACAACACAATATTCACTCATACGGGGCATTTTTTTGCACCAATATCTTGAATTTTATGGCATAACTGCATTTATATTATTTAGTTATATTTACATTCAGCCTGCATGCAGTTTCTGTCCGGCCAAAAACAAACTGGCGTATGTGGATTCTACACGTTTAAACACTTCAGATAAGCTGTCTAGAATTATTTATGGAGCAGATAAAGTACATATAATCATTTATTAATCAATTATCATTTTGACTTGACCCTTTTCTTGATTTAAAAGCTGAAATGTGAGGTTTACCATTTCTGAAACTTTTTCAAAGCTTTATTTGCACATTTACGTTAGATATTTGAACATGCTATTAGATAAACTGTTGTCAGTCATGTTGTCTTTTAATACATCACTGGCAATGTTACTGTTTTAGTGATTATGCAAACAAAAACTCATTTTATTTGTTGATTTTAAATGTAAGACTTGTGACTTGTGTGTCAGTACTTTTTGAACATCTACAGCACATTTTAACAATACCGTGATAATACTGATAACCGTGATCATTTTGGCCTTTTAGTCTCTTTCAGATCTGAGTAGGGCTGTGCAATTAATCGCATGTGATTGTCCTGTGCATCTGGTCAGTAAAGCCGGTTCTGTGATCAGTAGTAAATCTCCATCACCTGCTTTCAGATGGAGCGGCATTCACTACACAGAGCCCTAGATCACTGACAAGCTGCGCAATATCGCATTCATAATCGCAGATGAATCGCCTGAGATTATGAACGCGATATTGCGTAGCTTGTGAGTGAACTACGGCTCTGTGTAGTGAATGCCGCTCCATCTGAAAGTACGTGTCACAGAACCGGCTTTACTGACGAGATGCACATGAATGGCCGTGAGTGCTGAAACGGGGGATTCATGACACTAATGTGCTTTTCTCTCAGTCTCATACGCCGCCTGTAGCTGCTTCATGAACTTCTAGAGAAGCCTGGTTTCATGGCATCTGTGATCACATGATTGACACTCATGTCTCTCTCGCTCTGTGTGTCTGTCTCAGAGTAATGGCTGCTGAGGTGAATGGCAGCTCCAGTCTGCTCAAAGAAGAAGAGGAGCCCATGGATGTGACAGCCACACACACAGAGAACTACCAGACGCTGCTGGACGCCGGTCTGCCGCAGAAGGTCGCCGAGAGCCTGGACAACATCTTCCAGACAGGTGAGACGGACCGCCTGGACCCCTCAAACCGCTCTCAATAACTGCTCTCAGGAGGATGTGTTTCTACACTGGACAATCTGGAGCATCACTTCTGCTTCAGTCGAGTCCTGATGGATGAATATATGTGTGTGTGTGTGTGTGTGTGTGTGTGTGTGTGTTCAGGGCTGGTGGCGTACGTGGATCTGGACGAGCGGGCGCTGGATGCGCTGCGGGAGTTTAATGAGGAGGGAGCGATGTCAGTGCTGCAGCAGTTCAAGGAGTCCGACCTCTCACACGTGCAGGTGACTCTCACTCACTCACTCACTCACACACACACATTCACTCACTCACACACTCACTCACTCTCACACACTCACTCACTCTCACACACTCACTCTCACACACTCACTCTCACACTCTCACACACTCACTC